AGTACAGAATACTCTCCTACCATCCCATAGTCTATAGTCTCTACTCCCTGCCGCTGCAAGCGCTAGCGAAACGCTCGTGAAACGCTGGGAGCGCTAGATCGATAGCTATACATCCCGGGCCCTGGCTACGCTAGAGTACGCTAGCGTTAGGCTGCGTTTATACTTGTGGCAGCGTAGCGTAGCTTCCAGCGTACGCCAGCGGCAGTGTCGGGGAAAGGATAGATATCGATCTAGCGTTCCCAGCGTCACCAGCGTACGCTAGCGTAACGCTAGCGTAGCGAGGGCACGGGATGTATAGCTATCGATCTAGCGCTCCCAGCGTTTCACTAGCGTTTCGCTAGCGCTTGCAGCGGCAGGGAGTAGAGACTATGGGATAGTAGGAGAGTATTCTGTACTCTCCTACTCTTCTATACTCTCTAGCGCCGCCGAGTATTTTGTACTCTCCTACTCTTCTATACTCTCTAGCCCGCCGCTGGCAAACGCTGGAAGCGCTACAAAGTATAAACGCAGCCTAAAGACGCCCAAGAAAGCTCAAAAAACAGCCGAATGGAACATCTCCTACCAGAGAAGTCCGACTATTAGTGTTCCATTGTGTAACAAATCCTAGCAAGACTTGAATTTTCTGCTTATCTAGTTTTATTAAAGCAGGCATCAATTCATCTCGATCACTTAGCTTGTCAATAACCTAAAACATCAACAATTAGATCAGCAGAGACATCAAAAACTTATAGCATGTTCACAATAGGAAAAACTACTTCTATAACGGACCTTCAAGGCACAGAAAGGTCTTGCTAATCCAAGCGCGAATTCCAACGCTTCCTGAAGTCGATCCTCCTCCAGCAGATTGCTGAGAGTCTGCAAATTTTATTTATGACCAGAAGAAAAATCTCTTTTGAGGTATAAATTCTACCAGTCGGACCCAAAATTGTGGAACTGCAGTGCCACTCAAAAGGAAATAGCATTCAGAGATGTGTCGGGCTACCCGAAAACTTTGAATACCTTTAACTTGGCAATTCACCTCTGGCTTTGAAGGACTTCACCGATAACTTTATCAGTCGAACTTTTCCACATTACCACCATCATCAGCATCACCACCCAGCGGGATCGCGGGCTGGTGCCTCCCTCTCTGACAAAACCGGCTTCGTTGAAGTTTTTGATAGTATTCATTGACCGAAAGGAGGGAGCGACTTCACGCGCGCTCCTTTCGGTGAGTTGAAGACTACTTCCAACACAATTACCCTTCAACTGGTAGTGGTGGGTTGATTAAATGCTCAGATGAGACGAATGGTTAGCATTCACTGGGCCCTTCAACTCGTTACAGGAAGGAGCATGCGGTCAAGCTACGCCTTCTCGGCAAAGGCGAACCGTGCCAGAGAAGGAGGGGCGCCGCCTCAGCCGGCTAATGTGGCCCACAAGCCGGGGTTAGGGCATAAACAACCTGGGTATTTCTAAGAAAACACTCAGGAACATCACTAATGGCTTAAGATCACAGTAGTGGAGAAGTAGGAGAAATGATTTTCTATGGTCTCTAAAATTTCAAAGGCTAGAGGAATGGAAGCAGGTAATTTTCTTTCGCACATTCTCTTCGAAAGGAGCACCATTTCGACTCTCATCTATTCTATTTGCAAGGACTCACATCCAGTCGAAGTTGTTCCTGTACAAGAGAGTTTGTAAAAGTTTCAATTCCCTTTCGCGCACTATTGTGTTTTGGTTGAAGCACCAGATTCTTGAAAGACTGTTGAGGACTTTGATACGATTTGAAGCTGGTGGTCAGTTATGCAAACTGGTTGTAGCTAGTTAGTTGGTTGTGGTTTTGATCAGTCATATGAGCTGAGCACTTCAACTGAATGTGAGAATAAATTTGGTCGTACTACCCACTGTTGACCTTTACTCAGTTTTTCCCAATCTCAGGGCCCTCTTTAAACCTAATATTGAACTTTTGTGTTCCCACCCTCTCGGGGCTTAGCTAGGCTCAACCGTGATCCAACCCGTGCAAGCGACTCTTAAAGTTATAAGCATTTTCACGGGCAAACAAACAAGCAAACGTCGCAGATTATAATGGGGACAGTGGCGATATAAGGCCGGTCCACCATTCCGGAGCCTCTTGACTGTTTTCGAGAAGCTTCTTTTTTCAATTTTTCTTTCAATTATTTGTTAAAAGTCGTGTACGCCACAATATATGAAGTTTCGCCAAAGTACAGGAAGCTACCGGATGCTTTTCTTGCAGAAACAGAGACAAGAGGTGGAGGGAAGATTGGATGCCGATTTTTGGGTCAGCGTGAGATTCCTTCTCAAAGGGTAGCCAGAGAGCGGACTAAATGCAAGTAGTAACCCGTGTGGGGAGAGGGTAGGACTATGTGGAGGATATATCCAACGGTGATTCGGAATTCTCGATTCTTTGAAACTTAACTTTTCAATTTTCAATTCCTATCGAGATGTACAGCGTCACCAGAAAAATGTTCTGTATTACATTTTAATATTGCCAAAACGAGGTGTGTAGACGTATGATTCGACATCATGCCGAGGTTTCGAGCAGGAACAACTCGAAGTGATAGTTGGTACGCCGTACAGCACTGACAGTTGGTGGGAGTTTCCAGTGTCCCACCATCAACTATCAACTACCAACTATCTTTTCCTTGTGCCAAGTTGGAATTTTTTTGTCGTAATTCCTGGTTTTGTGGAACTAAGCCACTGTCTCTCACAAGAGTGGTGAACATAAAGTAGCCACTTTTCAGATTAAGTAACGATGTTGGATAGTTAATAGTAAGAGCGCTGAGAAATTACGAGAAACACTAAGGTGCCAAGGTGTTAGCTGGAACGAGCTCAACATATGTGGCATCAGATCTTAGGGATTTCTCCAAGTACTGAAATCGTGCCGTCACGCTGGGGATCGTAACCAAGAGTTGTGAAGCAGTCGCTGTGTGGATCTTCTTCAAATGAAAACAGCCTCCTTGGAAAAGACTGTATTGGTGGTGAGCGATGGGTTGAGAGAGCGTGGTCTCCTATACCGCTTAGGCTACGTCTTGACATCGCAATGACGCGCTCAGTCGACGAGCCACGACGCGCTACCTTTGCAATAGCGCTCCAGTATTATTGAGGGATTTCAACCGGTAGGGTTTGTGAGAGTTGGGAGAACAGACGCTTGCTACATTGTGCGCCTGCTTCTGGATGGTACAGGACAATATGGAAGCACCAAACTGTGCACGCTAGTGTTTCAGGAGTGTATAGGAGAGTCAATATACAGCCTGGTGCTCTCCTTTTCTCTCGTACACTCTCAGCTAGCGACCGACTCTGATCGATACCCGCCTACGGCTGCGTTCTCGTCTGTGCGTTGAAGCGCCATTGCAACGGCAGCGCGTCGTAGAGAATTGACGCGCGTCATCGCGAAGTCTGAACGCAGCCGCAGCAGATTTCACAGCATCGTCAATCCTAGCCAGCACTTGAGAAAAATAACGTTTCTAGAGCATACCGAAAAGTCAAGCAGCAGCGCAAAATCAGCGAGCAAATGAGCTGGATAGGTGGTCGAAATCAAGGATATTACTTCCAAAACTGTGTTTTCTTCCCAGATTTTCCTTAGCAATGAACGTTTTTTTTCAAATCGTGGGCCGACCTAATATAGCAGTGTTACTAGGCAGCGTTCATAGTTTGCGACAGCAGCGGCGATCGCCGCGATCGCCGGCGATCGTGGCGATCACGCGATCGCCGCGATCGTCGGTGCATGGCAGCGCGCGCCCCAACGCTATTGTGGATGCTCGCCTGATGAATAAGGGAATTCAACTTGTAAGACCTTTACTCTTAATAAGGGCTACTAACAGATAAGCTACGACTTTCTACACATAAGCAGATCTGGAATAGAGGTAAGAAGGTTTCACTTCCTTTTAGGTCGGGGTAAGACCAACTCCATTTCCTGGGTGAGCTTTTTTGTTTTTATTGTTTCAATTTATGCATGCGCCTCAGGAATTCCTATCGTCTAAGCTGTTCCAACTTCCAAAACATTCATAGTTTACAAGTCGAGTTCAAACAACGAAGAAAAAAAAGAAACAGAAAGAAACTCTCCTAGGAACCAAAGCACTAATCATTTTACGCGACATCAACAGGTGAAAACTTCATAAACCTCATGTACAACCTCGACGAATGAAAAAAGAAGCAATAAAAACGTACCTCAAGTGAAGCTCTCGCGCTTTTTGCTCATTTCTATCCTAAATAAGAAAGAAAATAGAAAACAAAAGCGATTAAGCTGGGCTCACCTTCCCTTGTGTCAAACCAAGCTTCAGTACCTAAGGAAATTGCAGTTAAGGAAAAAAAGCATAAAATTGAGCCGCTTACACCCGAAGAAGCCTTCGGAGCGCAAGTAATAGGGTTGGGGCGCGCGGTCATGCACCGACGATCGCATCGCACGATCGCCGGCAATCGCGGCGATCGCGGCGATCACCGCTGCTGTCGTGAACTATAAACGCTGCCTAACGCTTTCAACCGAAGACCAATCCGCGGCTGATGAAGAACTGATCCTTTCTTGTCTGCAAGGGAGGTCACAGATGCACTATGGTCTCATGGTGTATTTAGGATATCATCTCCCGTGATGTGCATTCCTGATCAGGTATCGGTGCCAGCTCTATGGTACTCACTGCCCCTTAAAGGGGCCTATTCCCGGAAGTTTCTCCCTCATATCCGGTACAGCCCTTCCATTGCTCCACATTACTGACTTCAACGACCTATCCTACAGAATGAAGCAATCAGGAACTAACAATGGACGTGAAAAGCTTTCAAAACTCAAGTTTCAGAACAGCGCTGACGTTCTGCTTTTCACCTCGTGCGCCGACCCGCATCAAAGAAAAGAAACTTGCTCAACACTCAATACCTAAATCATAGTAGAGTATATAGACTCTATACCTATCTCAGCGCCGAGCAAGCCTCCTTCCAAAACGCCCAAAAGAACTTTCTGGCGAATCTAGCAGATCATTGAGTTCTAGTGACACACCTGTTCCTCTTCCATTTGTTTCCTAACTTTAGCTTCTTGCTCCATTCGACGCTCTTCTGAAACATCCTTCCAAATCACGATTCGCCCATCCGTACCAGCTGTTACATACTCGCTTTCATCGTCCTTCGCCAGCAACGTCCAGATCTAAAAAGAATCTCTTTCTAAGACGAATTCTCAAAATCGTCCTCAAAAAACAATACTAGGAAGCTATTGCTAGTGTGCGCTGGAATTTTCGCTCTAGTTTCATAAGAATTTATCAGTGAAAAAGCATTACGGGCAGGGTACAGCACTATTGTGCGAAACCCACCGCGGGGAGGGGGGCGTACGTGCCCGCTGGGAAGGGGTAGTAAAGCAGGGTCGGTGAGCACCAAACGGCAAAAATTATCACCGCTAAGTTTAGGAGCAACTAAAAGCTGCAGAGGACCCGGATATAAGGAAGACTATAAAATATGATTAACAATATCAATAGCCAGCATGAACTAGTAAGTACACAGACGACTAAACAATACATCTCGGGCAGATTCGTGCGTATCGAACTTTTCGAACCCTAATAACATCTGCATGCTTGGACAAAATAACCTAAAATTCAAGGAAACTGTAGAGCTTCTTGGAAACAGGAAATGTCGGACGTTCTGATGGCGTTCTTATTTTTGCAAATGATCGCGTTTGGAAGAAGTTGTTCTCGTCTGACTCATAAAAACCCACTCGCAATTCCTAGCAGGATCCTTTTCGGGGGACGGGGAGGAGGGGGAGAGCCGTACTATCGTACTAACACTCCCATTTCAAATATCACGATGCTGTACACTGACTACGGGTCAGCACAGCTATATGGAAGGAGGAATGAATGACGCGAAAAAGCAGTAACAAAGGATATCTAACAAATTGAGTGAGGCGTACATCAGAGCCACCAACGCTGCGCTGGCATGGATGCAAGCTGGCATGAAACGAGCAGGTCCAGAGATTTCGTACAGTGAGGCTACCAGAGGTCCTCACTAAGGATGTTCGTCATCATTTTTTTTTTGCTTTTTCCTTCTGGAAAGTCACTTAGAGACTACAGGTTCGTAACTGAACGCCACTAGCCCCAATATGCAATCGCGGAGTTTGCCTTTATGTCCTGTCAAACGGACCCTGTTACCACCCAGCTTGGGGTTTGATAGATCAGATCCCTCTGCGTGAGGTTTATATAACATTCACCATACACACCTTAATTTCTCACGAAAATTCCGCTGAAAACTACCTTATCGGTATGTGCTTCAATGGACGTTTCAGCCTCAGAAGTGGCCAGCATCCAGATTTTAACGACACCTGCGCTATCTGCAGATACTAACTGGGTTCCATGGTTGACGAAAAGAATCTGTAATATATCGAATCGAAGCATTTAAGGGTTCAAGCTCGCTTCTATTCACTAGCAGATGAACAACGAACCCTAAAAACTGCAGAGTTGTGTCCATTCAAAGTCTGTAAGCACGTTTTGTCTCCGAGAGACCAAATCTTGATAGTCATGTCGCCACTGGATGAAGCAGCCTTCTGATATTATTTCCAATGATCACAAAGCTCGTCAACAGTGGGAGAAGGTGAAGAAAATATGTAATAAGCTGATTTGGTTATCAAGATGAAAAGAAAACTAAAGTATGGTTCGTTAGAAAGAAGAAGTAAATCACCAATGAACTAGGCGAGATCCTAGCATCTCCGACACCTCTTCTATGTCCCGACAATGTACCCGCGATTCCAAGTCTCATTTTAGCCGAGTCAACATGCCATAGCTTCACCAACTTATCCATTCTGAAGTGTGTCATAAAATTAACATGACAAAAAAGTAACGAAGAAAACATACCCTCCAGTTATACAAATTGAGTCCGTGAGAGAAACATCTACACAGTTCACGTCCTTGCCATGAGCAACCAAAGTGGAGGAGCAGCTCAGCTTCTCACTAAAAACACTCAAATTATTACGAAAGATAATCGGTTCACAACTAAACAAAAACGATCTCACATATTGTCTAGATTGGGGTCGCCGCTGGCGTCCTGATCGAGGTCAGTGAGTGACCATAACTTGATCGTTGTATCCGTCGAGACCGACAAAAGGAAGGGCCGTTTACCCGAATGAGAAAAACATAATGCGTTCACAGAATTGGTGTGTCCGGTCGCACGAGCAATAGCTTCCAATCGACAAGTTCTCTCGTCAGAGGCGGCTAAACGAGTGCAATCGTCAAAACACGAGAACGCAATACCCAACAAAAATAGCCAGGCTTGACAGCATTTCAGGCTACTGTGAAATCCAAAGCAGAAAGTATGATGGGAGCTGAAGAGGGTTAAATCTCGGTTCCGACGCAGTTGGGCGACGGGGGAAGGGGAAACGGGGCATTTTGAGACGTGTCGAGCCAGCAAGTGCATATCTGTGAAATGTTGTGAAGCTATGAAATGATACCAGCCAAAGTTTTGGTTAAAGACCCTCTGTCAACTCTTAGGAAGCAATGAGATGCCATACATATATTTACTGAGGCGGAGGTAGTGTAGTGACAAGTGGCGCGCTTACCACTCGCGCGGTCCTGGGTTCGAATCCCGGGTCGACTCCCGCCCAGGCCAACCAAGCCTTCTACCCCCGGGGACGGTAAATTGGTACCAGATTCGTCTGGGAGGATAAAACAGTGATTTATACATCGGCTGGACCCCGCAAGTTATTTTACTATGCCAGCATCGCACTTCACTCTCAGCTCACTTGCGATCTTGATCCGGTTACGCAGAAGCCGGGGCGCCGGCAAATCGCTCACAGAGAAGGTGATTGTTCATGCCGGAGGAAGACTGTGTCTTTAATCCTGTCAGGACATTTTATTAGTGTTGTCCGGAAAGGATCTCGAAGCGATTTTGGATGTTTTCACCTTACACGATCGCTGAACTTTTTAACATACATCGATTATGAGCGAAATACTAGTGTTAGGCACCCATTGCTGAATCAGCACACTTTTGCCCAATTTGATAGCAGTCGAGTGAAATGCCAGTCAAAGTATAAGAACTGGTGGGTCGAGAACCACGAAATCACGGGAAGGTTTTTTTTGGCCTATCCTAATTGAGGAATGTATTTTTCTAGCTAAGGAGCATTCTAAACATTGTTGAAACAGATGATGTCGGTTGTGATCTTTGGAAGGTTCTGCGGAAGAGAATGATGGTGATTGCCGTAAGCTGAACTTCAGACCTGCCGCAGTATTCGTCGAGGTGGGTCATTTATGGCAATTAAGTTGTCGATGTGTTGCTGATAACGTGAGGTGCGCGTCGCGTATGTTCAACGTTTGGCAAATCATATGCGACCCTTCTTTGATAACGTGTTGCTGGCAGTCTGACAAACTTTTCGTACATTTTCGCTCGAAATCTTCACAGTAAGGTTCTGCTGTCGATGGTTTGGCCCTGGTGATAAATTCTAGTGGATCACATAGCGATGACTAATTCAAGCCGTGACCAGATCTTTGTTCGTGGGTCGCTTATGAAAATATACATCGCGTGGTTCGTCGAAATTCCACCAACTGTCGCGAGCCCGTCTGCCTTTATCCCTACATGACCCATTTCTCATCACATTGTGAGAATCCGGCCCAAAAACGCAGGTCGTTTCTGCTGGAGGGTCAAAACAATGGCTTAAGACAGATACGGCTACGAGACGGTGCCCGATTCTTTGCGTGTCACTTTCCTGATTTGAGGGCATCCCATATTGGTCAAGCCTTATTTTTACCGTTCCGATTGCGTTCCACGACCATATCTGCAACAGTGGATTTGCCAATGGCATAGGTCTCTAGCTCTCATCCTCGAAACATGTTTGGGATGGGTCATGCCTCCAAACGCCCCTGTTATACATCAATCGTCAATATTGGCTTTAGGTCGTACCGCCTATGGAGTTATTCTCAGAGCTGGAAATCTGCCAGTACCAGAAATTGTGCTTTGAGCGGCCAATTGCCGCACGAAAAAATCAGTTGTGCTTTCTCTAGTCACTATTGGCCCATCCACACCTGGTAATGTTATTGGGCGCTTTCGTATTGCGGAGTTGCCCCAATTATATAGTTCGAGAGAAATAACATCGTCCGAAGCCCGTCTCTTACACGATGCTTGAAAAGGAAATGCCTTGAAAAAAAAAGGGGTTATCAAGGCACGTGAAACGGCAATTATACCATCAGATAGCGCAAGAAATTCTCTACAGGATTTTACTGAGAAGCAAGGCAGAATGAGTTTTTAATCAGCAGTGAATGTAACAAAAATAGGTGGCACCCAAAACGGCCTGTAGAACTTTCCGATCATATACAATTTACCATGATAGGTCGACGAGCTTGCTTCAGGTTCACATATGTGCACAGGTTTTACCGGAACTAGACTTGTAAACCGAATCATGTGAAGCAGGGAGAATGCGAAATGCCCCCTCCCGTCGTCGAACTGCGCCCTAGACTCCTAGAAAATCGAACTACACAGGACAAAGCAATGGTTTCTATGACGTTATTATGAGTTCGACCTTATTAATTGAGATAGGAAACAATTCGTACCAGCAAAAAAAAGTACAGAAACAGAAAGGCAAAGAAATCTACGGGCTTAATTCACTCAGTCTATTTATGTTGACAAGTAAGTTTGACAAATCAAACCAAAGAGGATGCCTACATGTTCAACCGTTGAGTACCCAAAACTCTCATACACGTTTATTCTCAGGCAATCTTATACTTGCGAAGTTGGAAGCGAATCAAAGCTAGCTTAAAGGCAGCTGGCACGATGATTCGGTGCGCGGCCCAAAAGGGCGCTATATAGTGGGGAAATGGCGAAAGAACGGAGTGAAACGGTCAAAATCCTGCGAAGAAAGAGCCTCCGTTCTCAATGTGTTAGAAATCAATTTTGGACGAGTTTCCTGTAGGCATCTTGCCAATAACCGCTACCGAAGGTACGGCTGCATATGTGTACTCATATATCCATGCAGCATCACGGCCGCTTCATACCAATCCCTTCGCTTCATAATTTGCTTAGCAAATGAATCGATTAGAGCGTCAGGAACGGTCGTCCATTTGTGGGCGGGCGGGCGTTTGGGTCGGTATGTTGTGGCTTGATAGGGCCCTTATAAGGGCACCTCCCTTGGAAAAGGCATTATGCAGCGCCTGCTCAGGGTCGCGGAATTCCGTCCTGCCAGGCGTATTAATCCTACTCGTCTTGGGGGATTTATCGTGCCAACTGCCTTTAAAGGCAGTGGACACGACTGGTGGAGGCGGGCGGTTATTGCTAGCGCCACTGGTGGAAAAACTGCGAAAGAGCTTTTGGCCACACCCCACACAGCCTTTCCACAAGGCCGTTGGCGACAACCGCACGTCCCTGTAATCGCGCCCTGTCTCCAATGAATGACACACAAAAGACACGTTACGAAGAAAGGTTTCTGACTTTTTACACTTTTTACGTAGAGAGGTTTCTTCAAACAAAGGTGCATATGCTTGTTTGATTTCAAAATGGACAGGTTCTTGAGAAGAGGAACCTGCTGAGGAATTATGTACAAAAGCAGTGTGTGAAAACGCAGAGAATTAAACTGGACGAACTTTTCGTTCTAAATTCCACAACTTTCTCCGCAGATTCTGCAGTTTCAGCGCCTCTGGGATAGACGGCACTGCTATTGCCGGTTGCAGAAATAAATAGAAGCAACCCCACAGTCCCAAAAAGCATTGCACCGAAAGCTTCAGGCTATGTCTCAGGGTGCAAGAAAGCCATTTCCCAACAACACGCGCAGAAAATCATCACAAATTTTTAACCGCTGCACAGTTCGCAAAACTAACTTACAGACAAGTTTCCATATAATTATCGAATTGTCCTTGCTACAAGACGCCATCAGACGACGATTGAAAGGAGCCGTTGCAACGCACAGCACACTTTCGCTATGGCCTGCAATGGTAAATCTAGAATTCCTCCATCAGTTCGGCCCTTACCTTGTAAGGAAGGTTTCCTGATCACCAGCCTTTGGCACCTCAACTTGACTCTTCTCACTAGGGATCGAAGTAAAAAGAAAAAAGGTCAGTTCTCAGTAGTTTACTTCCCAACGTGCAAAACAACAAATTTTCAAGAGCCAACATGATTGAAACTGCTCTCGAACAATCAGCAAGTTTGGATAGCTTGATGACTATTGTTTTAACCCATTATTTACCAACACGGAATCAAAAAGAAGGATATTAGGTTGTCGCATAAGTTCTTATACACGACTTTTTTGTAAATATCTCAATAGCGAACCAGCCTGGAGATTAGAGGTATGCACCATCACCATTCACTACTCGACGCCAGCGCTCAGGCAGCTTGTCGATTCCATCCTTCCAGAACGACGGAGGCTGGGACTTGAAGAAGTCGCCTTTCTGACCTGATCCTTTGTTTCGAACTTTTTTCCGTCCAGATAGCGCTGCAGGTGGCTGAACAGCCAGTAGTCAGAAGGAGCGAGGTCAGGGCTGTAGGGAGGGTGGGCGACCATCAGCCATCCGTACTTCTCCAGCTCGGCCTGGGTCGCCTTTGCAGTGTGAGGTCGGGCGTTGTCATGGTGGAAGTAGATTTCCGCATTCCTTTACGGTCGACGTGATCTTTCAATTTCCGCAGCTGGGTCACGTATGTGGAAGCGTCAATCGTCTGTCCCTTCTCCAGCAGCTCCCAGTACTCCATGCCTCTTCTGGACCACCAACAGGACAGGAGAACCTTTTTGGGGTGAAGGTCGGCCTTTGGGCTGGCTGTTCTCCTTTGTCGACCCACTGCCGCTTCCTCACAGGGTTATCGTAGAGGACCCACTTCTCATCTCCAGTGATCATCGAGTTGAGAAAGTGAAGCCTCTTTTGGAAAGTGAGGAGGTGGTCACCCTCCTCGAGAGGTCATAAGCGGACAGTTCATGTGGGACCCATCGACCAAGCTTTGCTACCTTGCCGAGCTTTTCTAGTCCACGTGCAACCGTCGAATGATCATAGCTAAGCATGGTCGCCATTTCTCTGGTGGTGAGGTACGGGTCCTCCTCCACGAACGTAGTACTTCCAAATCCAACTCCATCGGCCGACCCGACCTCGGAGCATCTTCGAGAGAAAAGTCTCCTTTCTTGAATTTGGCGAACCAATTCTTGCATGTCATGTAAGAGATGACGTCCTCACCGTATGTATCCACCAGCTTGGTATGGGCTTCCTTTGCATTCCAGCCGAAATCGTGGAGCAAAACCAAACAGTGGCGCAGGTACGTTTTGTCACAGTGCAAATTGTGTACTGCAAATGCAAGCTCGGTGAGTGATAGCTAGTGTAATGAAAGAGTATAATGTACACGTCACGCACACGTGATGACGTAATACCAACATCCATGCGAACGAAATAGGAGAGGATCAAACACGTGTATAAGAACTTATGCGACAACCTAATAGTATTCTCTCACCACATCCAACACAAGCTGCGGCCAGAGCAGTTCAGAAGCCACTGAAACCAAGGAGCTTATCGAATTTTTTTAAGTGCATTGCTCACCTTCAACTAACTGACAGTCCCACGTGGAAGTGTTGTACAGCCGTATTTCTTTCGTATTCGAGGCAACAGCAAGATGAGACTCTTCTTTTCCAACAAAAGAACACGAATACACCTAATGACGTCATATAATTCTAAGGCGAAAACTAGTCAGGAAAAGATGAGTAAACGACCCACTTCATCGTGGAATCCAACAATCTGCCGCTCTAGTGATAATTTGACAAACGAGACCAGAAAAATGTTCTCCTCCGCAGATGTTGTTAGGAGCTGATCTTTAACCGGATTGTATACCACTGATTCAAGCCTCGCTCTGAACAGTTCACACTGAGGTCACTAGAGAAATGTCTAAAATTCTAGAAATTAGAAGGCGTTATTTGCATTTAAGAAATAGGATAAGGTGACAGAAAGCCTGTTCATAAAAATGGCACATGGAGAGTATACACAGCAAAGCATAATCCTGAACTGTGAGGTGCTTTGCTTCAAGATCGTAAGAGCGGCCCTAGTGGCGTGATTTTTTAGGGTAGCGGCGCTGTTTATCGACGGTGGGGGGGGGGCATTCTGCTTTTCATAGATTTGCCAACCCATCTAGGTACCCTTTTTTCGAGTTGACACGTTTTAGGATGGTGGCTAGACGATCTTGCTCCAGCTTCACAAGCGTTCACAAGTTTTACCAGAGTGAGATTTGTAAACTGGAACCAGGGAAGCAGTTACAATACAAAATGCCCCCCCCCCGATAAACAGCGCTAGAGTAGCGTTTCAAATCGTCATTCCCAAGATTACCCTCGAATCACGCGGTAGGATTGGGGAAGGTAAAGTGAAGTGATCAGCAACGCATACTTGTCAATATATGCTTCTTCATGAGATGACCGGTGCGGCTGGCAACACAGTATTGCGCGCTTCATGGAAGGAGGCGTGGCAACCTGGGGCGAGGCTTTGGATGCTTTGTGCAAAACTGCTCAGTGATAGATCCGCGCAGTTATTTGAAGTCTTGCGCTATCCATTACGCTACCAGAGCCGCTCGTAGGCTGTGTACTTTGCGTCAGCATACCTTGAGCAAAACGGCACGTGAAAACTCTACTGCCCGCGGTACCAGGACATGCCATCGTGTTGTGATCATTTCCTGAAAAATACTACCCCGACTAATTCTAAACCTAATGTGAGACAGGAAAATTTCTCAGATCTTCCCTAACCTCTTACCAGTTTTTCAGGAATTTCCTTCTACTTTTTCCCCAAAATTTTGCTGTCGAGCGGAGGGGAGGGGGGGGAGGAGGTCGTCAGGATTCAACTATCGGAAATAGTAGTTGTATAGATCTTTGGCAGTCCTTCTCTCCACAACGACCAAATACGACCCCCTCCCTCGTGGTCGAATAGGACCTCCCCGTTGTGATCATTAGGATGGCGTGCCGCTGGCCGGCACACGCTGCCTTGAAGCATGAAGCACCCAGCACCAACATGGCAACCAACCCTGAAATTTTTTTCGATCGAAGAAGTTTAGCAGATTCGATCGACCACTCCTTCAATGTTCCCTCTTCACCAACAGTAACCATGTGACCACGTACTAATACAGCAGACTCGATTGCTTCAAATAAAGGGAACACCTAGAATCAGAACGAATACATGCCACAATACAGGTAGCATAGCTATTACAGAATATCAGTGAACGTCAACTGATATAAAAAGCTATTTGCTTACCTTCAACACTTCTCTTGTTTCCGATTCCAAAATCGAAGCTGTTTGATCTCTTGATACAACAACAACACGGCGTGACCCTGGCAACTCCAGAAATCCAGTTATGCGGCTGGAATTTGAGTGAATTATCTCGTCGAATTACTAGATATTGTATCGTAAAAGATATGCGAGATAAGAGCCTAGACTCGGTGAAGAGGAGCTCTTTAAATGCCGATGATAGCCAAAAGAGGATTAATCGTGACCATTTTGTCCTTTCCTGGCTTGGACTGCATTCATACATTGCGGCAATTCAGCGATTTGGGAGAATCGGCGATTCGAGAGGTTTAGGTGGATCAACGATTCACGAGATTCTGCTACAAGGAAAGTATAGGTGTTGATCTGACGATTGGGAAGATCGAGCGATCCCACGATGAAGACGCGGGTTTCGAGCAATTGCGCACCTTGGGAGTGGATAAGCGTCAGTCGCTACTTGAGGAGATCCGGCGACCTGGCGGATCCCAGGTAGCCATATTCCTCAATCTTATCTAATTTTCAGATCAATACCCATACTCTCCTCGTCGAACAACCTCTCGAATCGTCGGGTCTCCCATATCTAGAATCTTCCCAGTTAGCGGATAAAAAAAACACACACGACAATGTAAAATTTGCATGAAGTTAAGGACAGAAATTTGAAAAAAAGAACACCTGCTGTGAGTCCTCCACTCTCGCAATAACTTCTGAGTGGCTCCCTTGATTAGATCAAACATGCACACTTGTCCCTCTAGATATCCAACCAATAAACGGCTGCTGTGAATAAACGATAGCGCTGAAACTACGCCAACACCCTTCAATGTGTGGGTGCAGTGCTGTAAAACCATGTCCCATACCTAAACTCGTTTATATCTTCACAGAGGTTACCATATCCAAAAAAAATATCTGAATGGACAATAAAGCACTTCAGCTAAACGGACACCACTGGTCGATGGGATCCCGATCACAAAATAAAACCACAAGACAGTTATCAGCTGACAACAAGCCGGCTTCTTTTTCATGAATTCTGCTATCGTGAACTAAGAGGATCGCGCGATCGCGAAGTCTGAACGCGCTTTTGGACACGTGAAACGATTGATTGCTAAACAGTTCAAGTGCCAAGACGGATGAGAGCCCCATCAAGCTACTTGAGTCGCAACTACTAGCTCCCGCCTTGTTTGCGAAACTATGTACAAAGACTATGAGCAAAGACTTCAACGAGAGAAAAGTACTAGCGCTGAATGAAGCAGCAAAAGCTGGGCACACAACCTTCATCGGAGCTTTGGCAGCTAAGAGACAAAAATGATGTCTCCAATGTAACAGCCACTGCCCAACGAAGGGAATGTAGAAGTTCATCCCGGTATTCTGTTCCTATACGTCTTCGAAAACCATTTTAGGGAATGGTATCTTAAACTGAAGCTGATACATCTAGTGATACATATAGTACATCCCGTAAACTTCGATCAAAATTACCCAGAGAAAACATTCACAAGAACAGAAAAGAGGCAATAATGATTAAGATCGGCGCAGATCCTCCATGAGGAAAATCCTCTACACAGGTTCATTGCGATCTCACTCAGTTCTATGATATGACGTTATTAAACGGTAATGTCGAGAAAAAAAAAGGGTGCACAAAGTCAATGAAGGAGCGACGAGCCCTACTGACGGTTCAGTAGGCGTCTGTAATCCGCACTAGGCCCAAAGAGCTGGTGGAATCAAGTATGAGATGAAGCAGACAGATCTTTGCAGAACTTAGCTGAAAGTCCGGCAATTCTCCCAAAAAATTTAGTCACCAAGAATTGCCGTGGCCAGTTCTTTAGCCATGATTCGGCTGGATGACTTTTGGATTTCCTATTGCAAATCAAAAGTCAAGTGAGTTCCCAAAACCATAAGCGACGAC